TAYATGTKTGTATGTATGTACGTACATTTGTGCACTGTATGGAGCACATAAGCGCTGAACGTGCCGTCGCTTGCGCYGGAGTTCACAAAGTTTTTATGGCATTTTTCAAGTGATAAGTGCCAACAAGAATGCATGGTCTGGGAAATTTACTTTTAAACGTGTAACCAGATTTATTTGAGAAGCTGGAAATAATTTATAGGCGACAAGCAAACGTATTTTTAACAAACGAAACACGCTTGAGTTTATTCTACAGCAATGGATAACGAASTTGCAAGCACTACGAGTGAGAGACTGTGCGGAATTTTGTGAGCTGAAGATCTAGAAGTGGTCAGAAGTCTTGAAATGATTGTGTTTAAGACATCTGGGAGTAATATAATACACTGATTTGAAATCAATACCTGAAATATTTGTGAAGTAGCCATTTAAAGTGTAGCCGCTAGTTTAAAGTGATGGATCTCAGTTAGGTTAGGTTGGACTAAGGGGTCGATCTTGAGCAGGATCTCACTTGGAWAGCTGAAAACGTCAATCTGAGGTGCTACCTAATAAACTATTATATACTAATTCAGAAGAYTAGATTAAGCTAMAARGTCGATCTTGAGCAGGATCTCACAGGGACAGCTTAAAACGCTCATCCGWGGTGCTACCTAAAAAACTCCTACTCATAAGACCTTTACAAATCGACCAGGCGTTCTGAGCCGCTCAAAAATTTATTGAAATGACTAATGCAAGTTTCAGCTACGTCTTCTGGTACACCGAAGGTAAGAGATGGAGATGTTTCAGCCTTAGTCTTGCAAAGACTGGACAATGAGAAGAAACTTCCTGAATGTTTACATATGATGTTTGGCAACAAGCGTCCAACAGGATTGTTATCCTTAACGTATGAATACCAAGTAAATAGTATCCAGTAAAAACTCCTACGATTGCGGTAAAATGAACTTTGCTTAGAGCAAGTAGTACAGCAGATCTTGCTTCGAACAATGTTTGCTAAGCGCACGCGAGATACATTGGTTTAGTACTAGAACGCAAGACACTAACAGGGATCCAACCCGGTCTCATTTAGATGTGAGTGGAACAAGCTATCTCATCGGCTTTGCAGTTGCAAGCGTTTCCGCAGTGACCAGACACCCAAACGAGTTTGAGAATGAAGTAGCTTGATGTTTTTAATGTGAGGTCAAACACTCCTTGCTGGCTTTTAGGGCGTGAGCTCAGCGCTAGTATTGCCGCACTGCTGTCGCAGTGAGTGCCCACATCTCTTGAAAGCAGTCATTTCTGCCTGAAAAGCACTACAGTGATAACGCCTAAAGCTAAGGTTGACGGGTAACGCTTTATTGAAAACTCACCCTACAACGCGCCCCCACTAACTTCGCGCCATTCCTGTAAAAACTTACTATGCCTATTCTCCAGCGACTTTTTCCCATCCACGTCTCCCTTGTAGGTATGTGAGAAGAGGAAAAGCTACCAAGAGTGACCTCGGCGATGTAGTTTCCAGTAATGCAGTTCAAGGAGGCTGAAATTTTGGTGTGTTCTTTTTCGGATTTCTTCGTATCCAGCTTCGCCAAGCCTTAGAACACAATTAGCAGCAATATATCTGCCGGCAATGTTCACAGGTTTCATAGTTAAAATAGTATTAAGTGCTATTGTTGATAGTGCACCGGAGATGCAGATGATAAACACTCTTTGGACACGTTGAAGTGTTCAAATGTAGTCTTTTCGAACACCTTCKGCCAGACGAATACAGCACAGCACATAATTGGCTTGACTACTGTTACGGAAAACGGTGACCAAAACACTACCTTTGGYGAGAGTCTCATCATCTACAACGATATAAAACAACCGATGTCTGCCTTAGGGCTCAGCTCAGCTTTAAATATTTTTCAATTTTACTTGAGTGATTGCACGATGAGATTAGAAAAGGCATCATAACTTTGACTACGATTAAGTAAGTTTTACAGTCATACAGACCATTTACCTTTAGCTGCCTTTTCAAGCGTTTCCGCTTATATTCCAAAAGAGCATACATATTTCCTAACTCATACATATGGTTTATGCAACAACTCATCTGCGCCTCTCTGACAAAATTTTTAATTATAGACAAATTTCCGCAATTAAAGCACACAAACGAGCGAATTGCAAGGGTTGTAGGCGTTGCAGATAAATAGCCAAAGCARCTTCAACGGCGCGGTTGGTGGGCTGCCTGTTGGGTTGGGTCCGTTGTCTGCGCGACACATGCCAGCAAGGCAAACGCGCTGAAGTGCTGTGCCAGCGTGAGCATGCAATTTGTATAYCAACTCAATAGATCTGTAAATACGCCCACACACACACACACACACGGACACTTTGTCAACGTGTCGACTGAACAAATTGACAAAAGTGCCCGCCCGCCCCCTTAGACAGCATGCACATATGATTTCATTTTTTTACTTCACACGAGTGTCATGTGTGCGGATGATGGGGCGTATGCGCAACCAATTTGATTTGTTGCAATAAATGCAGTTTGCAGCGTGCGGCAGCGTACATTAGGCGCCCACACATATTCATATGCAATAAAATAATGATGCTGCAGTAAGCAAACAAAAACAACAACAAGCAGTGAAAAGCACAGCCGATAGCAAGCTGCCATCAGGAAATGAGCRCTGCTGAGTGCCGACATAAATATGGGGGAGCACAGTCTCGGCACTACCGCGCGCTGGCGAGCGTTTATGAGCGTGAGCGGTGTGGTGCAGTGCGTGCGTTRAGGTATTCTCTATGTTCAAGTGTGATTCTCCAACTTTGAAAAGCTTGAGCAAGTAAAGAAGAATTATTTATTTGCTACTTTATTTTGACACTCCTCTTAATTGCTGCTTTTATTGCTTTCAAAACAAACGCAATTAATTCCCAGTCATTTAAATGTGTCTTAGATTGCACTAAGCAGAAAGCAGCTGAAATATTTGCTGAAAAATATGTGCAACTTCTATTGGAATTTATCTTCAAAACATTTTGCCTGCTAATCCCGCCAGCTGCTGCAAGAACTCGTAAAATGTAGAGCAACACCAAAGAGGAAAACAAAAATGTGTAAACACTCTCACGGGAAATCGACAGTCATGCGCCATAAATAAAAATATATTGCATTGAGTGTTCGGCGATTGGCTGACTGGTCATTCTTTAGTGCCATTAAAGTCATGGCTAATATTTATTTTGTGCACGGCAAACAGGTTTCCGCAGCGTTGCTACTGTGCGCAGTAGGTTTAAATTTATGGAAAGAAGAGCGAGCGGAGTTAGATTTTTCGAAAAAAAAACAACACAAATTTCTTGCCTGTGAAATAATAAGTACCGGTGTTATTTGAAGTTGGCGCAGAATGGATTGAAGGCGAAAAGTTGAAAGGAAAGAGGGAAGAATAAAACTTATACAAATTTAATACATTTTTATTATAGCTATTGTTGTATATTACTTAAGTATAGACGAGACACATACCTAACCCTAAAGGCTTTTGATATTTCCAGCCACTCTAATCAAAGTTTTAAAGTGCAACCTGATGTCGGTTCTGTTCCTTATATGTGACCTGGTCTACGAAAAGGGAGCTAASGTGCGAAAACYAGTTTATGACTTTTTGGATTSTATCMCGTGAAAAAGCATCTCATMTTCCATCCGAATCAACTAAGATTTTTTGACACCTAAGCCCCCTTTCCGTAGACCAGGTCACATATAATGATTTTTGAAATATTGTATAGARCCCAAGATCATGTCTGCACGAAGCGCTCTACTGCTTTCTGAAAAGTACAGGGTGCTGAAGAACTCAATTAGCAGTCAATCTCGCCTATCTCAGAAGACAGAGATCGATTTTTATTTCATATTTTGCTACAATCTACTATATATAAAAGACTATGGAGTCGAAAAAACAGAGACTTTTTAAGTTAGGTTAGGCTAGGATAGATGGCTGATCCCTCGAAATGTCTTTCAAACAGCTGGCATCCGTTAAGATGTTCCAACTTACTGCATAAATCCCGCAAGGAYAGTATCCAGTTAGACCATTGAATGGTGAACTTAGCTCGTAGGACCTTGCGACTGAATAGCTGGTGGTAGTTGGCCAACGCTTGCTAAGCTGGTCTGAAATTGAGCTTTTATCGGTCCCAGTTCTGGGGAAACTGAAACACCTGCACCAGCAAGCTTATATGCCTAAGAGTTTCCTGTAGCATCGCTGTGCCCAGACACTCAAACCATTTATAAATTAAGGAGGATAAGCAGTGTAGACATCTCTTCCCTTGGCTCGAGCGCACAGTCGGCGAACTGAAGGCTAATTTTTTCACTGATGTAATATCGGAGTGGGGAGGATGGAGCCATATGTAGAATTTCTCGAGTGAGGAAAGTTCTCTTAGTGCCATTCACTTGGGAGCAACCCAAAACGATCCTTTACATATGGCTCAAGCAGCTCACGACTTCCCGTCTCAGAGGAAGTCTTCTCCGGGTTAGCAACAAACGTTTGAAAGCGAGATAAAGTCAGACKGGAAAMATCCCTCCCCAGGGTTATGCGCTGCATTTGAGACTTAAAGAACACTCCAAGTTAAAAGAAAAAAAGCCTCGGATGGGAGACACTGGGCTATAACAGTGTCTACGCCAAGCTGTGTACTGAAGGAGGCTGTGGAGCAATGGATTTACTACGCCCTTTATGGCAGCTACTTCCGCTTGAAAGACKCCGAAAAGATCAGAAGACCCTCCCGTTTCTCCCTCGATGAAATGTGAGTAGAAAAACTACAGTTCGGTTAGGTTCGGCAATCTATTTATCCAAGTATTTGGTTATGAAATCAAATTGTACTTAATTTTAAAGCTCCCACTAGATCTCAATTTTGTATGTGGTACTAGCTTAAATTAAACTGACATATTGAAAACACCAGTTCTATCAAGTAGGAATCTACTGAGCAAAAATAAAACTACATACATTTCCGCAGCTCTGCAGACCATACTAAAAATGCTAACATATGTAAGTAATGAAATACAAATCGCTCAAATCTAACTATGACTCACCTGTCTGAAGATTCCGATGAGTCACACCGGTCCGTGCAGCGTTTCTTCTTGCGTTTCTTCTTCGCCTGATTAGCGGCTGCCAGCAGCTTGCTAGCCGCTGTGGCCGTAGCACTGTTACCGCCGCATAAAGCGCTCGTGAGCGCTGAGTAGACGACAGACTTGAGATCGCTGCCGCTCTGGTTACGCGCGTAAACCGAACTTAGTTGATCCGAGTCGAGTAAAGCGCGTAAATTGTCCATATATTGTTTTTGTTGTTGATCACTTAGCAAACCGGTGGAGAAATGTGCGGAATTGTTCATTGTTGTTGTGGCCGTAGACGCCTGCTTHTGTCGCTTGGTTAGCGCAAAGTAATGCGCCGTTAGCGGTGCCACCGAGGCCGGTGTAGTGAAGCTATTCAAAGACGTTGTKGCAGCTGCATCAGCCTCTGTTGTGGCACCGGCTGCGCGCTTAGTGCCACGCACAATGCCGACACTGCYAGCCGTTGCAGTTGTTGTTGCTGTATTGTTATTGCTTTTGCGGCWTTTACTATCGACAACGGGCTTGCCTGCGGCACTCACCGCCGCTGAGGGCGGTGGCAGTGTGGGCATGGGGAATTTTATTTGCTTTTGGTGCTGTTTTTGTTGTTGTTGTGTTTGCTGTTGCTGACTCGCGCCGGTCAGCGTTGTTGACACGCAATTAGCATTGCCGTGGCTCAGTCTATTGTGTTCGCTGCCATTGCTATTGCTTTTGTTGTTGCCATGCTTTCTGGCACTTTCGCTCTCACTGTTACCCGCCTGATTAACGGCATTGCARGCGTTTGCGGTTGTGTTGCATAACTTGCTGTCAACACGCGCATCAGCCTTGCTGCCACACGGGCTGTTGGCGGTGTTGCCGCTTAACTTGTCCACRCTGCTCTTACATAATGCAGCTGCCGCTGTGGCAGTGGCTGTGGCCTTCATTTCACCCYTGCCTTTGTTGGCCGGCGCCCTTAAGCACATATTACGTTTGGYGGCGGGTTGTAAAGTGAGATCTAAAATGTTGTTGCATGCCTCCGCAACTTTTTCATCTTTTCTGTCACCGGCAATKGTTGCCAGCGCAAGCTCCTTTGCGGCAGGCGTMTTTTCGAGTTCTTTCCCATGCATTTTGCTTACACTAACACTAACACTGTTGCAATTGCTGTTGCTCGCTGTGGCATGGTCCAATTTGGCAGTGACTGGTGTCGTAACTTTTTTGATTGTCTTTAATGAACTGCTGTTGCTATTGTTGCTGCTGGCTGTGCCTAAAACAGCGGCTACAAACTGCTGCTGGAAAGAGTCTATAAACGTGCGCTCGTGCAGGCCATTACTCGCTGCTGCGCCGCCGGCGTTGCAAATGCTGCTATCGCTGCCACTGCTGCTGCTRCAACTGGACGCGCTATTGTTGCTGCTATCATCCTCGGCCAATCTACGCCAATCGGTGAGATTCCGCGCTGCTTTAAGTTTACTATCGTCGATGTTGTTGTTGTTGTTGCCGCATTTGATATTATTGAGATTGGCGCTATTCTTGAGCTGATCGAAGAGCGAAAGTGACGGCGCAACGTTGGTGGTGGCTTCAGCTGGCTGCGTTGCAGCGCTTGTGTCGGCTGCTGTTGAGGTATTTTTTATGGCAGTGTTGTTGTTGTGGCTATTTGTTGTTGTAATTTCTAATTTAYTGCYTGYTGGAGTTGCGCTAGCGCTACTGCTATTGTTGYTGTTGTGKGGCGTGCTGTTSTTGGCAGTAGTGTTGGCCTTGTTATTTGCGCTGTCTGTTGTTATGTTTGTCTTTAAATTGGCAGACATTGTTTCAATGACACTTATGCTTAATTCCGCACTACACACATACAACTATTTGCTTAACTGGATTTTCTAATAATATAACGGATTCGAAATTTTCACACACTGCTTGGTTTATTTCGCATTTTGCATAWTAATTTTAGGCGCAAGTGAGTTTTGTTGCACGCTGCAGACATCTTGCCACTTGTTGCACGTTGGCCTTTATTTTGGAGTTATGCTAGCAACCTGCTGAGGCCCAGTTGTTGCACAGCATATTTTGTACGCAATTTTTTTTTAATTAACACAATTTCTCCACACTTTTTTTTTATTTATTTATTTTATTTAATTTTACTTTTTTCGATTATTAAAATACACTTCTCAATATCAAAATTCACCCCTCAACCCGCACACATTTTCAACGGATTTGCGAATAAATTTTAGCCAAAATTAATTAATTTCTTATAAGCATGCATTAGTACCGATTTTTCTCCTGTTTTTAAGCAATCATTTTGTGTATTGTTTTTTATGCAATCAATCAAAAAGTTTATGCTKCCCAACACTGCACTTTAAATGCTGCCACTTTATTCAAAATTTACACTT